AGCTATGCGCTAATGTGCTATAGCCCTGCGGCAGCGATCCGCGGGCTATAGTACTAGAGCTAAGGCTGACACAGCTCTTCAATGAGCCACGGCAGGGATCGCGTCAGGCAGCGCCAGCGGCAACTGTACGCGGGCTAGAGATAACGGTTGCTATGCAATTAATGCAAAACACATGTGCGAAAAGCTACAATCGGCTGGAGCGTCAGTTTACTCATACACATCATTCCTCCGCGGGTGAAGTAGTTCAGATATTTTACCAGCGCAGCGTTTATTTAAAAAAAACTGCAGGATTAAACGATAAAAAGAAGGCATTCTAACTATAGTTTAAATGTAAAATAGTTTAATAGTTTAAACCCAGCATGGGTGCAACGTAACTTAATTTCTAGGCGAATTTTCTGCACTCGACTAGGCTACGGCCGAAAAGCCCTACCGTGGCTCATTGACGAGCTGTGTGTTGGAATTTAGAGTGTGTCCTTGCCACACGACGGTAAATAACGTGAAAACCATGTCGTCGAAAAGTACAAATTATGTCAAAACGAAGGAAGCTACGCGGTTTGTAATACTACCGGAACATAGAATAAGGACCAGTGAACAAAATAAGCTCATGTTTGTATACATTTCTATTTTTATTCACATCGAACTCGTACGACAAAAATGTAGTGAAATCAGTACCAAATCGCTGTCTTACTCCTTTGTCATTATACGCTCCTGGTATAATGTATATATGTATATATGTATATGAACGATTGTATGTATATGTTTTTAAAATCGAGGTACCAAACGCTGTGGCTGTGACTCACTGACTCAGTGTCAGTGACTGTGTCTGACTCTGTGGCGGTGGCACGACCCGCCATCAGTCACTACGAGCACAGGCACTTGGAACGTCTCAATAAAAAAAAAAGGTAAATAAACACAAAATGTAGGCCTATTTACTACCAAAGTCTTAATGTTTCTTTACTCTATTTCACCTTAAATCACCTGTAAATGCCGGTCAAATGCTCATCTGCAACACACAAGTAAACCGCACGCTAGCTGCTGGCAGCCCGGCCTGCACACGGACACATAAATATATACACTGACACATAATAAAATAACTATATATTTATGTGTCAGTGTGCAGCAGCTAACGTGCGGTGTACTTGTGTGTTGCAGATGAGCATTTGACCGGCATTTAGAGGTGATTATAGGCGAAATAGAGTAGAGAAACATTAATACTTTGGTAGTAAATACATTTCGTGTTTATTTACCTTTGGATTTTTATTTATTTATGGAAGTGTCTAAACAACCGGATCCGGTTTCGGAGTCCTGAAAACTAAACAACCGGCTCTCTTCTCTGATTGGCTAATTTTGTCACTTATTTATTTTATTTTTTATTATTTTTGGCTAATTTTATTTTATTTTAGAATTAGGGATAGGGTTAGGGTTATATATTTATATAAATATATCATGTCTCAAACACGTTCGATATTATCTGACAATAGCATAGAGCACTTATTTGTTCCTTAATGTACGAAATATTGTCTTTAAGCAGTGCTAAAATTTATAACATTAATCAATGATTGATTAACATCAGACGTGATGCACTTGTAAAATTAAATATATTACCTGTTCAACAGAATGCCCTTCAATGACATAATCTCGGTTTTAATGTCACCAAACTGCTGTTCCAGCACCACTGGTTGCACAATCTGTGAGAGAAATGAGTTAAAACAGCATCACAAATTCTCAATTCAACAGTATCACAAATCACAGGAAATAAAACAATTAAAGAGAAAACTACTATCAAATGTGTTTAATGCCCTCGTTTCAAACATCAAATGGCTAACAAGGTCTGGTTGTGACTTTTGATATTGACTTGGTCAATTTGTCTCTGCACATCCGATCAACATCTGGTCAATGAGAATCCAAAGACGTAACCTCAAAACAAATATCATTCATAATCCAAGGGACTGTCGTAAAGAATAGAGTCTAGAATTCTGAAAATATGAACATTTTTACTGCATTCCACAGTGCTACCCTGTCAATTCCATAAATTAGAGGCTCTTCTCTTCTTCGAGGTATTTGTTATGAGGTTATGTCTCTGGATTTTTGTACTATGACCCAATTTTTGATTGAATGCTCACAAATAAATCGGCCAAGTCAATGCTCAAAAGTCACGACCACTAGCAGTAGGGTTCCATGAAACAACCATGCTGCCACCTATATGGCAAAAAGTACAAGTATCAACACATAGGGCACAAATTTACCGAACTTGTGGATGAACTGCACAGCTGTTGCAACTGCTGCTGTTGCCGTAATATCACATCCTGCATGGTCTTCAGTGTTTCCTGCAGCTGTCCCATCGACTCACTGACACTCGCCTCTAACTCTGTTACTTTCTTGTCGATCACGATCAGCTGCTCCTCTTGATGCGATAACTTGCCTCTCAAGTAGGGTGCGACGTATTTCTGTAGCCAATAAAGATTCAAACACCAGGGATAAAATAATATCTGTGAGTAAACTGTCAAATGACCATTAGTAAAACATTCACCTGTAACAGATAATTGACAAGGATGTAATTCCTAATCCATTTATTTTCACACGAATGCAGTCACTATGAATATATATTCTGGCTGTTGCATTTTAAATAAATATAAAGTATTCACACTAGCTAGAATGTCATTTCAACACAGTTTGATATGAAGCCACACTAAATTACAGTGATGCCCCAAAGCATGAAAGTAGTTCATATCAGAAATAAGTATTTCGAATTTAGTTGTCATAACTAACAAATTCTGCTTGGGTGAATTTCGGCATGACACTGGGAATTTCGAAACAAAATTAGGTGGCACTAAATGTCACATGAATATAAAGAAAACTCTACCTCAATGAGCCAGTAGACACTGTATGATGCACTCGCCCCCAGGACAATAAACACAGCATAATCGGACAAGCGCTTGTGACGCACAGCTATTGAAAAACAGAAAAAATATGTGTTTTCTTCTCTTGTATGTAGCTTCACAGAATACATACACTGTGCATTAAGTAGAGTTAAAGGGACAGTAGCCTCTAGGATTTTACTGCATACAACTGTACTTACTGTATAACAAATCGTCTATACCCACACGTATTTGTTACCAGATACCTAATTTAATTGTTATAATTAATTACACATCAACGCTATGAAATTTGAACGGCTCCATGACACCCGCGACCGTGCTGCCACCCCAAAAAAGTTGCGTATTTGAGAATTTATTTTGCACGTTACAGACCGAGGGCTAATCACAAAAGTGCAATTATATTTATACCTTTAGAAATGCTATTTAACCAAACGATATTCACTTTATAGCAAATTTGTCCATATTATAACTGAAACTATATGTCGTTTATAAGATATTACAATCTTTTTGCTTTTAAATGAATAAATAAGAAACACCCTCGGTCTATAGCCTTTGGCTGGAAAGTGGTTTTGCGCAACTTATCAGATCGTGCCCTTTGAGTGGCGCCACCGTCGTTGTAATCAAACTGTAGTAGTTAGTTTTAAAACATTTAAAAAAAATATTTCTAATGGTGATTAAACCATGAAACTTTTTATGTAGCGTAATTATAACCTAAATTAGCTGAAAATAACCCTAGAACCTAAAGTAAACTCTCCATTTAAATAAAGAAGACCACATACAAAAAAAACTCAAGTTAACAGATTCTATAAAAGGAAATAAACTACATGAAAAGTGCTTGAAAATATATAAATTATGGTTAATGAATCCTAGTATGTAAGTATGGCAATGTGATTCACTTATTTATAAGTCTAAACCCAATATTGATTTTCTGCATATCTGCCAAGTGAATAACAATACTACAACTAGTAATTCTATGTATAAGAAGTTACTTTTATGTAAAACCTACTTATAGACATTTTAGGTCTTCAGTAACCTGTAAAAAAATGCAATGACGACGTGTAAAAATCCAGCTATCAATTTGAGAGTGCTGACCTTGTAGACATTATAGCAATGCTTTTATAAAATTTTCCCAAGTCATCGTATTAATGAGTAGAAAGAAACTAATTATTCTGCTGTTAAATTAACATTTGCTGGTACTCATGTTACTAACCAGGTTGTGATACTGCAGGTGCCAAGCGATCCTGCATATGAGCGTTTAATGGCACCACAGCTGATATTCCATTGCCCGAAGAGGAAGTCTGAATATTTTCCAAACCAGATCTCTGCAGTGCAGTCTTCACCTCAAGTTCTGTCAAACCTGAGGAAAGAAAAAACAGTTCATATTGCACATGTGGTTACTAAATAAAACTTTGCATGTGCTACAATACTATTGTGTAAAATGTACGTGTACGCACGCTAGAAATTGCAGGCAAAAACTTGCTAGGAGAGAATGATGGTAGCAAAGCTTTATCATATTTCACTGAACTACAAATGTCATTATGCACTGTAAATTAGCATGAATGCAGTACTATGATCGGCTTGCACAGAGTCTGTTATAAACTCCCCAATTGGCCACATACTCCGCAATTACAACATTTGGCACACCTACCTTTCTTTATCAGAAAGGTCTTTCGTTGATTAAGTGAACTTTGTTGCACTCTTGGATTCTGAAGAAATTTAACTGCCGTAGCCACCTGTGAAACGCATCGAAACACAAATCTGTTGTAGTTACAAGAGCGTATGCAAGCAGTAGAAAGGCTGGATATGAAAAATGCATGCACACATACAAATATACACACACACATATATAAATAAATAAATATATATATATATATATATATACGTGCATACACAAGGACAGGGGTAGAAATTAACGTTTGAACACCCTACCCTCAAAAAGTGAGAGTCCGCAGCATAATGAGGGAGTCCGCAGTCTGAAGTTCAAAATTAAAGATATTAACAATAACACATATGCTTATTTTAAGATTCATGCAGTTGCATGTCTGCCAAATTTTCTTTGGACTTTTACTGAAAAAATATGGTAATTCCGCGAGGCCGTGCTCTGGAACAAACTAGTTAGAATGGCAGAATTTTCAGGGGGTCACATGGACTCCTGCATATTATGTCAAATCAGGGAGTCCGACAGTAAATCAGAGAGTATTTGACGCTGGACTCCCGTTAATTTCGTACCCTGCAGGGACACACGCACAGAAGTACTTACAGTACTTTCTCTGATGTCTGTCATGGCAGGTAACGAGTGGACAATTGCAGCTGTTGGCTATGACCTGTTCCTTGTATTTGACTAGTACTGACTACTGATGACATTAGTGGTACTACCACTACTTAAGACATCTGCCTAGAAATGACAAATGTAACAAAGCAAAATAACTGTATTTCCACTATATGGTTGATAGCATATAGCTCATATAGCACTTGTAAATTAATTGTGGTATAACTACTAAACATTACACTTAGGTACTATCCAAAATGAATCCATGCAATCCTGAATACTGCTGGGCAAATAGAAACCGCAAAAAGGTGGTGAGCTGCAGTGTAGGGATCAAGGATAATTTGGCGCTCTGACTGTAGTGTAGCACACAGGCACTTGGAGCGTTTCAATAAAATATAATGATAAATAAATACGAAATCTATTTACTACCAAAGTCTTAATGTTTCTCTACTCTCTTTCACCTATTATTGCCGACAATTTCCTGTAAATGCCGTCCAAATGCTCATCTGCAACACACGCTGGCTGCTGCACACTGACACATAAATATATAACAGGTAGGAAAGCGTGCTGCCAAAATCCCATTTACATAAACTGCGCAACGGGAGCGAGGGCGAGAATTTCGTCAGGCTTTGTGTGATTTCGCGTGACACAGCTCGGTTACAAACACAGACAGTATGTTTTTATAACAAGTGAACACTGTCCTTCAAATAGAAACAAAGATGGAATAGAATGGTTGAATATTTGTGTTGTATTCGTGTGAAATCAAGCGAGTGTTCGAGCGAATTTTTGCAGCACGCTTTCCTTACCCTGCTATATATTTATGTGTCAGTGTGCAGCAGCCAGCGTGTGTTGCAGATGAGCATGT